TTTTAAATCATATAAATAAATAATGGTTAACAGCAATAGGATTAAAAATAAATAAATTAGTTTTAATATTAATCTATATAATCTTAGTGTGTAGGGGTAGAGCTAGGGGTGGTGGAGAGGAGTAGAGGTGAAAATCGAGTCGTGCCAGGCACACCACAATGGGTTAAGCCGAGCTAGGTTTGGATTTCCGACAAAAAATCTTAGTTCCGGCCATGTTGGTGAGATAGATAAACTAGATTGGATTCTTGATAGCTTACCATGCATGTAACAATATAAATAAAATGTTTGTTGTTCAAAATTCCATATTTTGTGTTCTTTACATTATTATTATTATTATTAGGGTAAATTCCTGAAACCTACCCTGAAATTTCTGGTTGTTACTGAAACCTCCTATGCAAATTGGTAATTGCAATAACCTCCCTTCAACTTTCTAAGATAGTTGTTGCAGCAGACCTCTTCTGTTACTGTTGATATATAAATTTTTGGGCCCAAAAACTGAAATAAATAGGGCCCAATATGAGATTGAATAAAAAAGAGCTATTGGGTCCACTAAGAAAAATAACAAAATTGGGCCCAATGAAGATGTTGAATGGGACCCAATTCATTGGCCCATTAACCCAAGGAAACAATTACAACTTTAATGGGTCATGGGCTTAAGTTTGAAACGTTCGGTGCAATGATCTAAAAAAGGGGGAAAATCCTAAATTTAAATGTCATTCGGTGGATAGATTGGCCAAATCTTGGATTGGGATTACAGAGAATCCCATTTAAAAGGAATTGAGCACATCAAGGAGGCCTGATTGATCAACCAAATTTGAAGATTAAAGATTTACCACCGAATTATGAATTTAGTGGGGCCCATTTGAATGATAATAAATCGAAGTGCATCACAACTAAAAAGGAAAGAAAAGTAAATGATGGTTGGCTATCTTGATCGACCACATGTGGGCTAGCTGATTGCCAAATGGGTTCCAATCACAATGGACCATGATCCAATCAATCTAGTGGGCCCATTGGAATGACAATTGTTACTTGCCATTAAAAAAGAAATCAATGATCGCTGAAGATTGTCTTGCTAAATTACAATAAGTTTTCTTTAGTGAAAGCAATTGGAATGTATGTTGGACGGGCTCTTCAAGTGAGGCCATCCATTACAATGAGACGAACTCTCTCTGATAGGTGACCGGGAGGATGAAGAGAGCTGGTTCGTCTATATAAAAGATAAAAAAAAATAATAATAAGAGAAGAAAGGGAGAAGGTATAAGAATTTGGAAGAAGTCTAGCAATTCCCAAGTTTTGTTTCAACTTTTTTTGTTGCAAGAAAGAACCAAAAATTCAGCTTCTCAACCATTGAAGACTTGAAGCTTTAAAACTGTTGCAGACCCGTGTCACGCAAATCGAAAAATTTGGTCCTTTGAGTTGYTGTAATCAAAGAAAACTCCTATCAAATTACTACAAACAAGAAATCTTCTATCAGATTGTTGTAATCAGGATTTTCATTGAATCATTAAAAGGAACCTCCTACAATTAAAGTCGTCAAACTTTATGGGTAGTTACAAATGCAAGTTCAGTCGTGTCCGTGAAATGAGAATCATAGGGTATTCTTCAAAAAAAAAAAAGATTTGTATTCCACTTTCATTTTCAAAAAAAATTAATTAAATTTTTTTGAACTTGTCTTCATTATTTTTTGTTCTCCAAATTTAGCACGAAATTTGTATCGACAATTACAAATCGATATTATACTATTATTAAGTGTGAATAAGAGTGTGGAACTTTTGTTTGACTAAAATACCCCAAATTTTGAATTTGCTCCCTCTTTAATTGTAGGGCCAAATATGTAATTTGAACAACCACTTTTCCCCTTATTCAAATACCTCTCATTAAGTCTTATATTTAAGGTATCAACTCCCATTAACATTTATGAAATCCTATTCTTGACTAGAATACCCCTTTTTTTGTATTTGGTCCCTCTCTAATTGTAATGCCACAAAATGTAATTTGAATTATTACATTTCTCCTCATTCAATTCTCTCTCATTAAGTCTTATATTTGGGGTCCATTCTTTCATTGAATCCTATATTAATTAATTATATCAAATAAAAACTAAGTATGACAAAGAATAATTATTTTATTAATGATATAAATAAAATACAAATTTAAAACCAACCCACAAATGGAGTTGTTTTCCTATTTTGTTGTGAGTCAACCCTTGTTGTCATGGTTAAATACTAGTGGAAATTAAAAATATGAAAATACAAAAGAATATAAAAATATACAAAAGATATAGAAAACATTTGGGCACTTCTCTAATATCATATATTCATCATTTTAAAGAAAAATAAGTGTGGCAAATACAAATTATTTTTATAAACAGAAATATAAAAAATTACAGAAAAATTTAGAAAACATATTCTTTACTAACATCACTAATTAGGGGTGCAACTTAGGTTGGTCTAACCCAAGTTTTTGCATGTGGTAGGCTTGAGTTTTTGGGCTACAGGCGTGGACCAAAAAACTCAAGCTTGACCTAAAATTGAGTTAGGCTTGGGTTAAGGCCTCAGGTAGCCCGAACCCGAGGCCGAATCCGACCCATGCCCAATCAAACCCAACTTGAGCCTGCCAATGAAAATACACACACCCAAAAACAAACAAACAAACATACATATATGTATATATCCGTATATATATAAAGTATGTAAAGATACTATTGTAAATAAAATTTTTACATATTTTCAATTAATTATACTCTTAATGGGTCATAAAACCTATTAAAAGATGAATACATAAATTATTTCAAACCAACCCACTCAAGCTTGACTAATCCAACCTGACTCAGCCTGAGCTCGAGCCCAAGCCCAACTTGAGTTGCATTGGGTTAAATTTGGATCGAGGGGTTGATAAACTTAAGCTTAACCTCATTTTGGATTAGGTTTAAGTCCAAGATTTGCACCTACCTTCAACTTGACCCAACCGGCCAAGGTGCACTCCTAATCATAGTTCTCTAAAAATAGGGTACTTTAGGCTGAGTGCCAATTTAGTACTCCAAATTTAAAATGCGAGAATATCCAAACTTTCGTTTTGCAACAATCTAGTACCTACCATTAATGGATCGTTGGTTATGTATATCACGTTGCCTCATGTGCATTTAAGACTTTTGAAAATGTCAACATTATCCTTGACACTGTTCATCATCTTCTTTTCCAAGAAAATGCAGTGTTGAAAACGGATGTCCAAGAAAATGCAGCGTTCATGGTTATGATTGCCATGTACCTTAGGTCCTGCTTGTTCAACCTAACCGCACAAGCGGCATGTAGGGCTCGGAGCTCTGAGTGCTCTTGTCCCGTAAATCGAAAACCCTAACGGATCCATCTGCGGAAACCGAAGCGAAAACTCCAATACCTCCCGAGCAGAAGCATAAAAAAAAGAATGTTCAAAGTCCGGCCGAAGTAGGTGAATAGGTGAGCCTTGTCCACTCAGGATTCGGGAATGGCGTTTCACTGTGAGATCCCCCAGCGGCTGTTCTTCTTGCCCACCTTATTGGTTCTGGTTATCTCAAGTCTAAGCAAAAACCTTGCCGGCGATAGTTTTCCTATCAGAGAAGTCAGTGTGCATGACCTCCAGGCGGCCTTCCAGCAGAAGCAGCTAAGTTCGAGAGAACTTGTGGAGTTCTATCTCGGAGACATTCGTAAGCTGAATCCAGTACTTCGTGGAGTAATAGAGGTGAACCCCGATGCACTGGATCAGGCTGACAAGGCCGATTGAGAACAAAAGATGAATGCGCCAGCTGCTGGGTCGTCCCTGTCTGTCCTGCACGGGATTCCGGTTCTTCTCAAGGACAACATTGCCACCAAGGGTAGGTTGAATACAACAGCCGGATCGTTAGCGTTGGAAGGATTGATCGTCCCCGGTGACGCCGATGTGGTGAAGAAGCTGAGAAAAGCAGGAGCTATCATCTTGGGAAAGGCCAGCCTTACCGAGTGGTCACATTTCCGTTCTCTAAATCAACCCAGTGGATGGAAGAGGGAGGAGAGCGGGTGATATTTTCTGGTGTTCTTCGTCTTCGTCTTCTGATGTTCTTCATTGATATACAATGTTTTCAGTTTTCTCTTCTCTTCCTCTTCTTTTGATATTTTTCTGATGTTCTTCGTTGACCTGTTTCTGGTTTATTTGACTTTTTCTGGTATTCTTCGTTTTCTCCGGCAACGGCACTGGATTCTTCGACTTTAACTTTTCCGGCGTGTATTCGAACATCGATTTCAACTTTTACGGGGGTGCATTCACTTGACATCACCGGCGTGAAGGAGCTGGTTTTCGAAATCTAAAAAATGTGAACAGTTCCCACTTGGTCGAAATAGTTGATAGGTTAATTTTGTAATTTCGAATTCATGCGTTAGTCAAAATAGCTTAGGTGTATTTAGGTCTTTTGTTTTTTAACTGACGCTGAATTAACGCCGGCATTAAATCGTTGTAAAATAAAATTTCAGATATTAAATTATCGCGTTTTAAAATTTGAATATTAAATTGACAATCGATGTAAAGTACAAGATACTTATCGAGAATTTTCCCTTGTTTATTTTGCTTTTCACGAAAAGAGTGAATTTTATCAGAAAAGCCCAAAAGCAAATGCAAAAATATGAATTTTAATTTTTATATAAAAATATAATTTATTATCACTAAAAGTTCTATACGATTACGATGGATTACTGATGAAAAACTGAAAAGGGAAAACTGACGGGACTACATCAGGATCAGGTGGAATAGTATTCCAACTCTAACTCTACACTCTTACACCCAGTATTGTCATTTGTCAACCGACAATAGAGCGAGCCCACCCACCTAAGCCCTAGCCCCTACTACGTCAAGAAGATCAAACGGTTGATCTCTCTTGTTCAAATAATTTTAATTTTGCATGTTTCTTTAGCAAACATTGCCGAAAATAACTTTCTGCTTTGACTTGACTGTAGGCCGTGCACTCGCTGTGAGACCGTAAAACTCTCTAATAAGCCCCTGTGATTTCTTCAGAGAATCAAACAAACGGGAACCTTCGTCCAAGAATTCAAAATATTAATTTTATTCATCATTTCTATCTCATCGACATCCATGCCTGAGCGTTCTTTTCCTCCCCAGTCCCCACTTCCTCCCTGAATAATTCTTCTTTTCTTATTGCATTCTGGGAGCTGGTTCTCAAAAGGGGCTTCTCTCGACCGAGTTAGTAATACCTACAGTCAATGATTTTTCTTTGTTCCGAAGATACACTCTTTAACTGCCACATTTCCAAACTTTTATATCAAAGAATATGATTCAAATGGTGAAACCAACTGAAGAAACAAAAGATTCTTCAAGCCCAAATTTGGTAAACCCTTCAAAGCTCCCAACCATGGATATCAGGAGCCCCAAATACTTGCAACCTTCATCTTTGTTTCCTTGTAATAAGGTTAAAGTCCCGTCTTTAATCTACATTTCTTTCTTCTTCTATTGTAATTATCTGCAAAAGGTTTCTGTTAGTGCTGTCCATCTCTCTCTTATTTCCTTTCTTTTGGGTGTTTGTGTTTTAATTAGGAACCACCATTGGAGGGGAATTCGAGGTCATATTACAAGAACAAAAGAAACCCATTTGCAGATACCTTCCCTGACCCACTTTGCAAGCTTAATCTCAAGGAGACATCTGAGTTTGTCAAGGCCTTTCCAATGGCTAACAATGATACTGAAGGCAGAGGCTTTTCGGCTCAGAGTAGGAGAGAAGGAATAAGTTCAGTTGCACAGAGGAGACCAGATGCCCCTCCAACTCCTGGTAGGCCAGTTTTCAGCTTCGCCGTTGGAAATCTCTCCAGAAAGAGCTTCCCTTCCAAGTGGGATGATGCAGAGAAATGGCTAATCAGTAGTTCCTGCCATGATTCCCCTGCCCATGCGATGAAACCTTCCGAAAACTCAAATATATCAAAACAAAATGAGATTTTTCATCAAAATGAGGTCTTCGCAGAAAAATGCAGAGTCACCGAGGAGAAAGTCTCAAGAATGGCATCAAGCTTTCATGGTTCCGTGTCTTTGGACCACCCTAACCTAACTCTCAGTGAGGTCTCAACGGAACTACTTTTAAAAGGTGAAATCTTGCTTTGTCTTTACTTTTCGTCTTCCCCTTTTTTTTAAGCATCCTTCCTGCTCCTAGCTGCAGGAAGGCTAAAGATTTTTCTCTTTTGCATCAATCTTTTGATATTGTTCTTTCTTATGAAAAATACCCAGTTCAGAGTTCAGACAATATACTACCTTGTTTGCGAGATCATTTTGGGAAAAATCAACCGTTTCTTGGTACCCATTTGTGGTTTCTATATGGGGTTCCTCTTGTGCTTAATAAAATTTTTTGAACATAAATAATGTGGTCTTTATACAGTGTCATCTACAACAATTTTGAAACTACCAAACGTTGGTAGTCAAGAACTAGAGAGTATAAATCCACAGGGACGGTAGCCCTTTATTAACTCCCATATTTTTTTGGCTCTTTGATATTGGTTTATTGAATGCCCATATGGATTTCTTCTTCCAGATAAGTTTACAGACAGTGTGGGTGTGGATCCAAGTTTTCCGAATTTTAGGTGCTGTGAACCAACCAAAGAAGGCTTTTTATTCAGTAATACAGTTTGTGAAACGATGAAAAATGCGGCTACGGAAGTGGTTCCCGAGGTTCAACACAGAGACATTGGGACTGAGATGACTCCTCGTGGAAGTTCCACGACCTCAAGATGCCACACACCCTTCAAGAGTTCCTCTCCTGTGAGGCACAACACTCCAGCTGACAGGTCAGGCCCCTTGGCGTTGGGAGATTCAAGATCCACCACCACTACCATTGATATTTCTGAGCTTCAGGAGTACCATTTTGCAAAACTTGAACTTGGAACGCAGTATGATTCGGTTGTATCAAATTGGAGCTCAAGGGAAGAGGAGGAAGAGGAGATATCAAAGAGTTTGAGACATTTTGAAACGGGCACCGGGTTTAGAAAGAGTGCTGCAGAGTCCAGAGCTTCCGCATGGGAAGAAGAGGAGAGGGCCAAGTGCTGTATCAGGTTTAGTAGGATCCACGTTTGGGAGTTTTTGTGTTGTACATTGCAACAATTTCAAGTTTCCTCCTCTACTTATTACCCTCTTATTTAGGTGTTGTTTTTTGTTGTTGTTGCAGATATCAGAGGGAAGAAGCAAAAATTCAAGCCTGGGTGAATCTTCAGAGTGCAAAAGTCGAGGCTCAATCAAGAAAACTAGAGGTAATTGGGGGAGCCATAATTTCCTTTCCATATTCACTGTTTCCAGCTTTTTTTCACTGCAAACAGCACAGTAATTCTTTGAATTCCTTTTACCATTGAGATATGGACGATAGTGAGAAACAGAAATTTGTTGAACTCGGTTCTTAGAATAGGGGCAATGGCTGAAGTGGCTGCTGAACTGAATTGTTCACTGCTTTTGTCTTCTTTCTTCTTTTTTAATCCACTTCTTTTGTCTTGTAGTGGATAAAATATCCAGGACCAGGAGACATCTCAAATCTAACTTTTTTTKGGGGGTAAACATCTCAAATCTAATATGCCTAGTTAATTAATGACTTGTCACTTGTTCACTAAAAAGACAAATTCAGTTCAGCCACTGGGCGGACCTTCTCTTTGCTGCAGGCTTTTCATTATTTTAACTTTTTTCAGAACCCAACTCAGCCCTCACCTCGCTTTAAAACTCTAGAATTAGAACATCCCACAAAGAAATTTTTTGGGTATTCCATGAAAAAAATCGCTATTTCCGTTTTTCACTTTTACAATTTATCTACTACTCCGTTCTTGTTTTACCCTCAGTCTCAGGAAATCGTACTTTTTCATAAAAAAAAAGCATGTGTGAGTGAGGGTGAAGAACCGAGGGGCCATATACAAGTCTTTATGTTATATTATGCTAAAAAGGCAGTTTGGAGGACCATAGCAAACCCAAGTGCATCACCACGTAACATGGATTTCTTGTCTGGATGATCACATGGTGAATAGCTCTGGTGCTCTATCATGGTCCTGTTTACCAGCTTGTTATTCTCCTCCTGTTGGTATTGGTAGTATTTACCTAATTACCTCAGTGAGTTGGTGCTACTGTTATTGTTAAATACACCATTCCTCACAAAAAGGAAAAAAAAAAAAAAGTAGACTACTATTCCTTTCCTTTTTTGAAGCCACTATGACTATTCCTTTTCTCATATCCATGTTTCCTTCACCAGTTTCTTGCATCTTCTCAAATGTTCAAAGAATTTCCAATAGCAAGGGGCTCACTACGTAGCAAATACAGCTCACTTGGTTTCTGTAACCTCCAGTGGGGAGTTAGCTATCAGTTTCATATTGCTTTGTGCTGTGGTGGCTTCCTTTTGCATTTTGTATTTTGTTCCTCTCTGGTTGGTTCTTAATGAAACTTTTCCTTATAAAATAAGCTTCCTTCACCGGTTACAGCAACGCTGCCTGGGGACTGGGGCTGCATGACCTTGTAGCCTGCGTCTTGCTAATGCTATGGGAATTAATTGGGTCAAATATCACCTTGAAGCAATAGGACAGCCTTCCACGCATTTTCTCTCTATAAAGCTTAAAATAATGCATAAATTAGATAATTAAATCCCATTTAGTCAGTCAACAATCATCATATTGGTTTTTAGGTGTCGGCCACTCTTGCCTATCGTTGGTGTTCCCCCTGATCCTGAGCATCAAACACAGGAAAGTTTTTTTTTTTTTTTTTCCTTTTTCAGTGGACTCTAAAGTCTAAACTGCACCTGCACCTGGGGTTCCTTTTCTTTCTTTTTTTTTTTTTTTGGGTGGATAACTGCACCTTGGGTTCCCGTGACCCAGACCAGAGACAGAGTCTACAGTCCATTGTTGATGTTGATTAAACAGCAAAGCTTTTCTCAGGTTCTTTGCTTGCTAATGCCTCCTCGAGCCCCGCAAGGCCGTAGCTCTGTAAAAGATTCTTAATTTTTTTGCCATTTCTTTATTGCTTGTTCCTATATCCTTGTATTAACAATTTTTGTGTGATGGCCGGCGATAGCAGGCTACCAGCCTGTGTTCTTGAAGTTGTAAATTGGCCGTGAACAGATGCAGGTCATGAGATCAAAGCCCTCCATGTGAAGGTCTAATAAAGAATCCCTCAGAATTAGCGTTGATGAAACTTCCACGCATAAAAAATTAGCATTAGCTAGACCTAGGAGTAGTGAATTTCTTTCACTAGAATAGTTGACAACTAGCTTTGAAATGGTTGAATAAGATAAAGGGAAACTATAAAGCCATAACCTGTTTCTGTTAATGCCACGGGGAAACCTTTGTCCCACATGCTTTTCTTCCTCTAAAGAAATTGTTTTTTTATGTTGAAAAGAGGAGAAAATCATGATGTACGACAAAAAGTTTTTTTATTCTTTGGGAGGGTGCCGTGGTGGGGAGTAGGGAGAAGGTGAGTTGGGTTGGTTTAATAGGTTTTAAAAGTTTGAAAGGAGTTTGATTGTAGAGATTAGTTGAAATTCATAATGTAGAAAATCCAACTTGCTCCAGAAACTTATGGTTGCAAGAACTGGGTCTATTATTTTTCCAATCGTGGGTGTTTGTCTTTGCGATATATAATGTGATACAACCTCACCTTATCACCGTGTGTCTTTTGATGTTGAAGTTGTGTTTTGATAGGTGAAAATACAGAAGATGAGGTCAAATCTAGAAGAGAAGCTAATGAAGAGGATGGCAGTTGTGCATAGAAAAGCTGAGGAATGGAGAGCAGCAGCCCAACTGCAACACTCACAGCAAAACCAGAGAGTTACTGAACAAGCACAGAAAATGAAGAACCAGGAAAACAGTTCATATTTCTCAGATCGTACCTCCTGTGGTTGTTTTCCTTGCAATAATCACCAGCTCTAAACGAGAGAGAGAGAGAGTCAATTTCTGCAATCTTTTGCACAAGTCATGTAACAAACAGGTAAGAAAGAAAGTGAAGCACTTAATGAGAAGAAAATAAAACAAAGAAAGAAAAGGACTGACCATTCAGAAGTTGTATTTAGAAATCCAAGAAGAAAGTGAACAACCTAACAGTGCAATGTGGTGGGCCTTGTGGGGGGTATTTATGATACTATCATATTAATCACACAAGAATTAAGACAACTGGTTCAATTCCTGCACCTGGATTAGAGTGCTTTTTGACTGAGACTGAGATGAGAGTGCTTATTTGACTGAACAGGTGAGTGGGATCACTGGAGGTGCGCGAGTTGAGCTGTTGAGAGGTTCAGACTTGTCAGCAGGTCATCCCTCATCCACATCCATGATCCATCTAGGGACCGCCAAATATTTCAGAGCATCAATTCAAGCCTTGAATAAGTTGCATCAATTTATATATATATAATCTCGGAAAATCAAAATTGCGGTTTAGCTTGAAGAGGCCTGTGGATGGTGGACCTATTCCCGAATTCTGATTCCTGAGTTTCAAGTTGAGTTCAATTACGACCCGCATCCGCATGGCGGTCCGAGAGCTAAGCTGCGTAACTGTGTTACAGGGAGGGACGCTGTCTCAGTTCCTCTTTGGACCTTGGTGTACAGCAAGCACCGTTATTTATTGCCTTCGGATCTTCTGTCTACGAGAATTTTGTCCACGCAGTCACACATGGAGAATATCTCATCCTCTGCTTAGTATTAAATAAGGGGGAGATGTATTTGTGGATAGACGTGAGCAGGAGATCCGAACTGTATATACAAGTGTACACGCACAAATTACGCGCCAATCCGATTCCGATGGACTCAACCCTAATTTCAGATCCCGGTTTCCTCAAAGTCAAAGCAGAATAAATGCGCAAACACACTGTACACGGGACACGGCATTCAGCCCCCCGTCGGAAGTACCGAGCAAGGTTGAGCTGAATTCTTCGGCTATTTAACGGACTGTGGAATTAATGATATGGTTCAACGCCAGTGATAAATTCATGAGATTTGCATGTTTTACGAATTCAGATTAACTGAAACCTTTGGGATATAGAACCAAACCAATGACGAGGTTTAGCACCAGTAATAAATTTATGGGCTCTCAGTGAGAGCCTATGTATTTTATTAATGATGTGAAACCTTATGATCAGGAGTTATTGCATTGAAAATGCACCTTATACTAGTCATTAGTCATGCATGGTGATTAAATATGTGTTGTGTAATTTCAAGTTTATCCTTAATGTCACTATATTTGTATTCCAAATGCATATAAAAAATATAGTGATGAAGAGAGAGAGAGAGAGATTGACTTTATACCATGATTTTTAAAAACGATTCAGAGACTAAATTGGTCAGAGGTTTGGTTATCGGGTTGAATGATTCGGTTGTTTGAATCGAATGATCGGCCCATTCTAAAGAAAAATAAAAAAATGGTCAAAACCGTTTGAACGATTAACTATCTGGGTCAGTAATTTGTTAACCAAAATCAATGATTTTAAACAAATTTCCAATTTTGAGAAAAACTAAAACCAGTCACTTGACAAATTTCCGATTTTTTTGGTCCGACCATCCGGTCCAGTCCGGTTTTGAAAATCATGCTTCATACTCATCTTTGAAGATTGAGGAGCACAGGCTGGGGCTAACTGACCAGATATAAATATGGGAGATGGTTAGCCGTGTTAACACTTCTTCCGACAAACACTAGTCAGCTTGCAAGTACACCCTCCACTCCGCGTCCAATATATAATACCTTTTCAACAAACAAATTATCACAGTAAAATATAAGAATATCCAACATATATGTGGTGCTTGTGTTTGGGGTGAGAGAAAGTGGTAGGTAATTGGAAAAATCAAGTGAGAGGTCGACTGTAGTGACTTGTAATAAATTCAGATAAGGCTCTATTTGAGAAAAGTGTAAATACAAAGTTTAGAAATACAGGTATGGACCGTATACAGGTTTTGCAGTCAACACATTTATATTTGCTCTCTTTCCAAACGAAGCCTGAAGCACACGTACGTGTAATAGGATATTATTTATCAGACCAAAAGGAAATGCAAGACTATCCCCGAAAAACCTTCCATAGCCATAGGTAGTTGTTTTTTATTTCATATTTACTCTTTGAGGATGATGTCATGTTATTTGGCAAAATTAATTAAGCAGAAGCTGCTAATGTTATTGATTTGTTGAATTCAAGAAATATCAGACTTCTCAGTAAAATTTCAAAATTCAAGAATGTTGTTAGTAAGAATACCCTTTAAAAAGGTGTTAAAATATTGTAGAGGCAATTAAAAATCTCATTTAGATAAGGATCGCAAATATTTAGGGGTCCCTCTGCAATGGACTAAACACAAAGCTAAAGCCTTAGGGTTCATCTTGGGTAAATTCCAGTGTAAATTAAGCAGGTGGAAAGCATCTTCTTTATCTTTTGGTGGCAGACAAGTTTCGCTTCAGTCTATTCTTCAGCCTATTCCTATCCATTTTATGAGTGTGATGAAATTTCCAAAAAAAAAAAAGAAGATTTCGAGTGATTTGGAAAAGTTCCAAAGATCTTTCTGGTGTTATGAATCTAAAAGTTAAAAAAAAAAAACAAATAAAATGGGTTTTAAATTGTGTACTCCTAAATCTGAGAGGTCATCTTCATCTATTTATATGTTTTTGAGAGTAGTTAATAGAGTGAGACGAAATACAAACTGTTAGAAACTCTTGAGTGTGTAATCCATGTAAATTGCTACATGAAGGTCATCCTTAGTTTTCTCAAGGGTTTTCTAATTTTTTCATTAAAAAATATGTGTGCTCTGTATAGTTTGTTCAATGTTTCTTGTCTCTATTTCATTTTATCTTTGCCCTCATTCTCACTGTCTATTTCACAACTTGGAAATTGATGAGGGCGGATTTGGCCCTCGAATGATATTATAACACATGGTACATCGGAACAATTAGGTGACACCCGGAACCACTTACGTAACAACTTGCCTAAGCCAATTTGATGGTGTCCCACCGGGTGGCTTGGCCCAGGCGCGACCTGGCAACCTGCAAGATGTGCTCACCAATAAATTCGACATGCATATCCTAACACTCCCACGATCCTTGGAAGTTGGCCCACGTGCCGAACAATCCGGAGGGTGGTCAACGTGCATGACAGTTACCTCAGGGAATCTCGGACCACTTAGACGACTTCTCGGAAATCTCGGATGCAGTGCGTGAAGCCCACGCCAAACTATGCCTATATAAAGGCACCAACCCCAATAGCATGGGGGGGGGGGCAAGTAAGCATATTCTAGCTCTCATACTTTGTGATTTTTAGCTCGTAGTCTATTATAAGAGTACTRACTTAAGCATCAGAGCGACCTTGCCGGGTTAGCCACCCCAGGTCCTCAGACATTGATTCCTTGCAGGTCTCTAAAGAACTACGAAGCTCAACAATCAATCCAGCTCGCCACCAGGCAGCTCAACACTCTAGTCAGCTCGACAACTAATAGGCAGCTCGGCACTCTGGTCAGCTCGTCACCTAACCTGCCTAGCTCGACCCAGTCAGCTCGTCCCCCAACATGCCTAGCTCAGCCCAGTTAACTCGGCACCTAATCTGCCCCCAGCTCGGCCTGGTCAGCTCGGCATCTAGGTCTTCATCCAGCAAAAGTTCACTTTGGCCTCTGAGTCATCGGCTACTTGGAAGTAGACCAAATGACGAGGTACTTAGCACAAAAAATTGATACATCACCAAAAAATTGATCCATCAATTGGTGTCGTCTGTGGGAAACGCTGCAAAAAGCTAAGTTCTCATCCTTCAAAAGGCTAAGTCCTCTTCTTCCAGAAAGCTAAGTTCTCACCTTTTAGAAATTAAAAGCTCTCACTTTCTAGTTTCCATTTTTTTTGAACTCAAAGACTATGCAGGAAGTTGATGGCCAACGGACTAAGCAGCTCTACCAACTTTGTTTCAACTCGGATAAAGCCTCATCAGTCATCTTCATGAGGTACCCTCTACAAAGATGAGCTCTTTGTGGCTTCTGCGGGAGTAGGCGGCCAACAGACTACATGGACGCCCCTGCCGATCGAGCCTTTCGAGGCTCCCGTGCGAGCTGGTGACCTAAAGTCAGTAGTGCTGCCCCCGTAGATTCAACTCCTAGTAGTTTCTTGTAGGAGTGGGTAACCGACATCACTAACGAGGCTGATGCAGTGCAGCCATAGCTTTAAGGTGTCGAGTTGATAAAAGACCTCGGCACCACATAAGACCTAGTCGCCTCTTCGGCATGGGCAAAATCAAAGATCAAGGAGAGTGGACTACAAGTCGCTCCCAAAGCCTAAGGGCTAAAGTGCCGAACTGATAAAAGACCTCGACACCACATAAGTCCCAGTAGCCTCCTCGGTATGGGCACATAAGACCCAGTCGCCTCTTTGGCATGGGCAAAATCAAGGGTAAGGAGAGTGGACTGTGAGTCGCTCCCAGAGCCTAAGGAATTGAATCAACGCTTACGAGCTCATCGAATTAGTCATTTCAGGCCAAAAGGAGCAATCTACTCCCTTCGCCGAGTAACTTTCAGCTCGGGAGTGGGGGGCAAATGATGAGAGCGGATTTGGCCTTCCAGTGATATTGTAACACATGGCACCTCAGAACAACTAGGTGACACCTGGAACCACTTAGGCAACAACTTGCCTTAGCCAAGTTGATGGTGTCCCATCGGGCGGCCTAGCTTAGGCGCGACCTAGCGACCTGCGAGACGTGCTCGCCGACAAATTCGGCATGCATATCCTAACACTCCCACGATCCTTGGAAGTTGGCCCACGTGTTGAACAATCCGGAGGGTGGTCAACGTGCATGGCAGTTACCTCAGAGAATCTTGGACCACTTAGACGACTTCTCGGAGATCTCGAATGCGGTGCGTGAAGCCCACGCCAAACTATGCCTATATAAAGGCACCAACCCCAATGGCATGGGAGGGGGGGGGCAAGTAAGCATATTCTAGCTCTCATACTTTGTGATTTTTAGCTCACAGTCTACTATGAGAGTACTGACTTCGGAGCGACCTCACCGGGTTAGCCACCCTGGGTCCTTTGACATTGATTCCTTRTAGGTCTCCAAAGAACTACGAAGCTCAACAATCAATCCAGCTCGCCACCARGCAGCTCGACACTCTGGTCAGCTCGGCAACTAATACGCAGCTCGGCACCTAATAGGCAGCTCGGCACTCTGGTCAGCTCGTCACCTAACCTGCCTAGCTCGGCCCGGCCAGCTCGTCATCTAACCTACCTAGCTCGGCCCAGTCAGTTCAGCACCTAACCTGCCTAGCTCGGCCCATTTAACTCGGCACCTAATCTGCCCCTAACTCGGCATCCAGGTCCTCATCCATCAAAAGTTCACTTCGGCCTCTGAATCATCGGTCACTTGGAAGCATACCAAATAACGAGGTACTTAGCACAAAAAATGATACATCACCAAAAATTTATTCATCAAAAATAATACTTTTTTCAAGAGTCTATGAAACCTTTGAATGGCCCCCTTCATTTGAAAGTAAGGATCTTCAAATTCGATGCTTAATCAAGCTTCTGCCGGTAGATGGGATACTGAGAAATTATCTTCTTTATTTTTGCAATAGGAAATGACTTTAATTATGAATATTCATATTTTTAACAAAAGCTTTGACAAATTGGTTTGGATGAAGAATGCTCCTGGAGATCAATGCTGTCTGGAAGAATGGAGAGTGACAAATACCTCTGTTCAGTCTGGTATCCTGGCTTGGATTAGAAGGATTTGAAAATTAAAAATCCCTCCACGATTTAAACTTTTCTTTGGAGATTGTTTTGTAGTTTCATCACCTTAGAATCTGATCTTGTAGAAAAAGGAATTGTAAGTGGTAACAAATGCATGTTTGTTTTTTGTCCCTATGCTTATGCTTTCTTGTTTGCTAGTCCGTAGTCTTTTTTTCTTAGTAATTGGTGATATGTACCACACTAATAACCCCCTCTCCCCAAAGTAGGTGGCTGCAGAAATCGAATCCACGTCTATGCTGAAGCCAACCAGCTAACATACCAACAGAGCCACCTCTCTATGGTCAATGGTGCAGATCCAAATTAATACTTTCTACATCCAATGTGACGGAGCCTTTTGTTCTAGCAACATGGGTAATTATGGTTTTTGCGTATATAATAGTGCTAAAGAATTTGCCATACCTGCATGTGGGTAACCTCGGTTTTGTAAGAGAGACAATATTAGAAAGTAGAAACAGAAATGAAAGCAGTTTTCGAAACCCTCTCTTTAGCATGGTTGCAGGAATGGAGTTCGCTAGTTGTTTTCTCAGACTCTCAGTTAGTGAATTTAGCTTTAAAAGGAAATCAAGAAGGCATTCCTTGGCATTTAGTGGTCTTTTGGACAAGGTTCTGTTGATAGTTTTTCTTTTTCCTTTGTTTTTTTTTTTTTTTGACGGTTCTGTTGATAGTTAAACAATTGAACCCTGTATCTCTTCTCTTCAGGTGATATTAGTCACTACTCAGGCTTTTAAGTTTTAACACAGAGGGATTGTACCTCTAGTCTGTGGGTGGGACTCCACAATTGAACAATTACTATATGCAAGATTACTCCCAAATGCAACCAAGATAAGAGTCTTCAACGCGGACAATGAGCTCATGCTTTAAAATCAACCCCAAGTAACTGTCACTCTGATAGACACGTACAAGCCAAACTGATACAGGGATAACCCAGGGTGAAAAGCCTAAAATTAATTAATAAACCATTTGCAGATGGGGATTCATCGTCTCACTCAAGTTTCAAACATGGACACCAGATACAGGTGTAATATCAACTCGTAGAATGGACAGGACATTCTTCCATTTATTTAGCATAAATGTATTCAACAACTTTTAGTTAGATTTTTATAAAAATAAATTATAAAATTTGCTGACTTATTAAAATCCGTGATATTTAAAGAAATAATGTCTCAATAGAATGTAGTAAAAATTACTCTTTTGAAGCTCCTAAAAGGAGATGTCAGCTAGCTTGCTGATATGCTCTTCTGCATGTTGTAACCAAGGCTTGGGATTGGAGGATGGGCTAACCCCGTTACACAGCCCATTGGCCTAGCATAAAATCTTAAAAAGACGAAAAAAAAAAAACTGATAATTTAGCAAGGTTGTGTTAAGGTGGGTCTCATATGTGTTTTTAATTTATATATAGTGAACCAGTGATCCATAATAATTAATTGTTTTAAACATTCAAGATTAAAGGCTTTCTTCTTGATGCTTATTAGGTATGCATTTTTGGGTAGCTCTCTGCTCTCTTTAGATAGAGAGGCCTTTCACTCACAAGAAGATATTAATAGAATAACTCTATTTTCCTCATACTCTGAGCGTTCATTTAGTCCATTATTTTGCAACAATTTGAAGATGACAACTGACCAGTAAGAGAACATCTACCAATAATTTCTGGGCTGATTTACTTTGTACACCAATTTGCAATTTCCCAGTTAAGAGGCTGACTGATAGCACAACTTAACTCAACCCCGCTCCCGTCTTTTTTTTTTTTTTAAACCCCAAACTTCACCTTTCCCCTAGCCCAGAATACACCATTCTCTCCCTCACCAGCTCAACAAACCCCCTCAAACAGAAAAGATACATAAAATACTTGGTGACCATATCTAAACCTAGGCACAGGGAGATCAATCTTATCTTCATGAATAAGAGATTTAACATGATGAGCTAAATCACTTAGCAAGGTACCCAGGAGATCTTACTGAGAAGATCTTGCAGGTTTTGACAAACATAATTTTKCTTGGTCCTTCATCCCCAGGTCTTAATATTGCATCTTCTAATGTGCTTGATCAATTTCCTCAAGTAAATGGGCAGTTCCCTCTGGGTTTAAGCAAACTCGGTAGACTTGTTAATTTTAATGAAGTTACCCTCCTGAGTTTCAGTACTATTTGGGAAATTAAACCATAAAGCTAGCATTTACCCTACTTGATTGGTTAATTTGAAGAAAATAATGGTATGTATTGATGGATTTTGCGGATAAAGCTTCATTCTTGCCATTGCTGAACACACACAAAAACGATCTATTCCAATGATGTATAATGTTTTATCAGCTCAAGTTGCATTGCTAAATTAGACAGTGAGAATCACATTTGATGCACCCATCCATTATCCAAAATGCTTGGGGTGCGTGAAGAAATTACTGAACAATGTTAAAAAGAACAATATGCCAATAGAATAAGCATAATAATGGTGATGAACAAGTGACGAGATTAGGAAAGATGCTATTAGAAATCAATCCATCTCAAGAGAAAGCAACTGAGATGCTATAGCCTGTCCAAAGAAGATTGCCAGCATGATAGAGGGCTCTATAAGAACCAAGGAAAACCAAAAGAAAGTGATCTCATGAAACAAGATATGAATCCCAAGATTCAATGAAAGATATGGTTCAAAACTAAAAACATGGAGATCTGGGAAGTCGAAATGAAGATTGACGCATTGGTAAAAACAACCACAAATAAACACCACATGAGATGAAGAAAAGGTATATTTCTCTCTCTAATAGCATTTAAAAGAAACTTACATCAGCTCTCCTTGAGATTTAAAAACAAGAATTAAGCTTAAAATCTTCATTAGTTGAACAAAACATTCAAAGGTACTTACATCCATAAAATTTTATGCAACTTTAGTTTGCCATTGTACAATAGGAAGACAGTTACATAAACCTTTCTTGAAATAAAAAGCAAAATAAAAGTACAGAAAAAAGACCATCTTTAATTGGATTCATCGTCTCACATGCTCTTCCTTGTACCTTTCTTCATACATAAACCTCCATCCTGGGCTCGAAACAGAAGGCAGACATGAATTCCTTTGCCTCCCCATCCACAAAACACCTTGGCAATTCAGTCCATTCATTTCTCACCAAATCACATAAGTAACAACTACTAAACTCACCAGAATTCACACATATAAGTATCTGACCTCCAGATCCTACACAATTTATATCTGCTTTCTTGCCATAAAATTCATGTGACATCGATGGAGGCATAACTGCAAGCTGATGCCACGACCGGTCCCCCTCACAGAATTTCCAGACTCTAAGACTCGCGGTTTCTAGGAACTCTGACAATAGCACTACCAACATCTCACCCCTACACTCAACAACATCAATGGAATACTCAAAAAAGACCGGAAGCAACCTTGGATACTCAAAGAAGCATTTGTGGGCTAAATTGCATGAGATAACCGTCCCTGAGGAGCTAAGAAAATAAATAATCTCTTCACCATCTTTGACAGTTATAACAGATGAGTATTGCTTCGATGGGCTCCTTTGCATGTTAGTCATGACAACATCTCCTGCTTTACTGAGAAAGTAAAGAGTCTCATCTCCAGCCATCTCAGATTCTAATGAATTGCTGGTTTTCCTACTAAGCACAATCTCTTCTTGCCACAAGTTTTTCTCTGAATCATAGACTTTGACAGAGAGACTTGGGAATTCACCAGAGACTAATACAAGCTTATACGAGGAGCAGTTAGAAGATGAAACCATTGCAATGGCATGGACAGTCTGACTTTGAGTGGTCTCTCCTACAGGAGGAATTTCTCGGCAGGCACCTGTGACTGGGTTGCAGACAACAAAGTCACCAGAAATAGTGCGGAAACATATCAGACCACCAGAAGCAGCAACTGGAATGAAATTGCAGCTGGGATTTTGTTGGAGAAGTTGGTTATTAAGATTTTTCCATTTCCTTTCAGCAGTGTCAAAGATAATTGATTGGTCAAGATGGGGACCAACCATGAAAAACCAAGGATCCCGATAGGGAACCTGGGAGCAGGCAAGTTGAAAAGTTGCAGAGTTTGCAACAGAACTCCATCTTTTGCACACTGAACGGAGGCGGCAGAAGCTTGATGTTGGTAGCCATGAGAGCACCCTCTCGAGCAGGTCTTGGTTCAACTCGTCAAAGGACAGGCCCAACATCCCAATATCTCTTTCTTCAGGTAGTTTTCTCTTCAAGGTTATCTTTGATACCAAGTTCTGATCCATTTCCATGAACTGGAAATATGTAAAGAAGATCTGCAAGACCAAAGGCAAATGACATGTTATTAGCAAAAGGGAATCTCCCTAGCCTGTAGAAAAAAGAGAGTATGCATGGAGGTGACAAGCTTGTGCAATGTACAAGAAGTTGAGAACACGATATCACAAAAAGAAAATGAAAGAAAGAAAGAAAACCACATCCAAAATTACCAAATATCTCGAAAGGAAAACAAAACTTTGCAGGACAGGTCAGGAAAAATTTTCAAGTAATTGTGCTTTTAGAGGTAAAACCATTAGAGCATAAAATCAGAAAGCTATAACTATTTCAGGAAATCGAGACTCAAGAGTTCTGTTCACTAATTAGATTTTCCTTTTCTTTTTGAAAAGGAATCTAAACAGAAGAGACGACAAGGAAGAGAAACAATTACATAACAATCATATAAAACCAACAAACGAAATTTTGATTTCCTACAAAAACGGCCAAATGTATACGACCAAAATGTTAGAGCTCATTAATGTAATTGCGGTTGACAAAAAACTGAAGAATACAGTACAAAAATATTTCCTATCTTCATACAAAGAGAGCGAAAACACAGAGAAGTTGAAGATTAAATCGAAATTCCAAAATACTAATGACTCTTCTTCTTAACAAGAGAAAACCCAGAGATCTCAAGAACTGTTTAAAAACTGTACAGACAAGCCCCCTACATATTATTTACAATTTTCTTAAATATATATTTACAAATGCATCAGGAAAACCTTTAAGAAAGGGCCAAAGAACAAACAAAGAACGGTCTAAACTGCACAGAAAGGTCAGATAGATATTGCATTCTTGCTTTAACGTCCAAAGGTTAACCAAAAGAGGTTGTTTTCATATAACAATCCAGGATCATTTCCTGCCCTCCACTCCCGTGAGAAGCACAGGAAAGAAATATCTCCAGAACACTGAACAGTCAAGGCACCATCTTTCTTTTAATTAGATATCTTAACACTCTATTGAAATCAGCATTTTGTACAAGCCAGAATAAAACAATTCCATTCTCTAATTTAATCTGAAAGGGAAAGATTACAGGACCAAAGCACTAGGTAATGGCACTAGCTAAGAACATTGAGCAGAAGAAGAGATGAATTTCATTTAGCAGGCCAAGGAGCTTCATTAATCAAACAGGAGCACTTAAAGGCAAAATCAAGAAAAAGAAAATAGGAACTAAATCCAGATAACCCACATTCGACCCTTCTGAGAAGTCAAAGAAATCTCAAGACATAAAAAACGAAAAACTCAAACATTTTATAACAGAAAACAGCTAGAAAACAAATCAAGAAAAAAAAAAAAAAACTGCTTGCTTTGCTTGAGGCAGCAGACTACATCATTAATTGATGAAACCATCTTCAACTCAAAAAGAAAAACCATAAAATAATGAGAAATAGAGCCAACAGAGATGGAGAATGCACCTGTTATCCGAATTCCTGCCCCTTAACGAACTGTGAATGAAAGACAAGTTTGCTCCTCTTTCCTCAGAGACATATATATGGAGAGAGAGAGAGAGAGAGAGCGAAGCTTCCTGGGGAGCTCTTTTTGTTTGGCGTTGACAGAGGGGGTGGTGGGCCGGAATCCGAAACGGTTGGGGGACCACGCTAACATGCGCCGGCACGCGACAGTAAAACGCAACTAAACGAGTAAAACTTTCTTTGCCTACTGAATGACCATTTTACCCTCGCACGAATCCCTGCCATCTGGCTTCTAATTTTCAAAGGCTATGCTTAGAGTCAAAGGATACAAGTCGGGCTGGTTAGTTGGGTTGAGATCAACCGTCAACCCTAACTCAATCCAAGTACCCGATGACTTGGGAGTTGGATGGATTCTAATTGGTTTACTCACCGGTTGCGTGTGGGATTGCTAAAAAAGAACACTTCAATTAACCCAACCCAAAATCTAAATCAGGTTCATACTTCTCAACCCAACCCTAACTTAAATTTCAAGTTTTTTCAACCCAAGTAATAACCATAGCTAGTAGACAAAAAAGCCTCAGAATGTCATGAGTCATGACTAGCTTTCCTGCTCAATCAAACACTGGTCCGAGCTAGCATAGTACGGAGTTTGGACCAGCGTCGGGTCCAGGTGTTAAATAATTAATGATAAAAAATTTAAAATGGTAATACTTAAAAAGAAGATATTTGACGCCAAGCCACTATTCTTGATCTTCATCTACGAAGAGACTAGAGACCATCAATGGAAGAATGGCCGTAACCATTGCTTTGGCCAAATCAGAATCAGGTTCTTAAAGCTTAAAAGCTCCAACGTTTTCATATATGTATATATATATTACTCAAATAGACCCACTTGGAACGTCAAGTCAGCTTAGAGCCCGTTGGGGAGAGGCTTCTGTGGTGATTGAGCTGCATTCATGAAAGTCTGATTTTTTTGGTTACTTGTCAGATTTTTACCAAATTAAATACAGCTTCTGAATTTCTTTATCTCATGCAATACCATAGACAGCTGCGTGAAAGCCCTTACTCTCAAGGGGCCGGGCTCTCAATCAGCAATTCTTTTTAAAGCTTTTAGAAGGCCCAAATAAAATATACATCGGAAAAAGTCGCAAATATTTAACGTGAGCAACTTAATGGGCAACACATATCTAAATATCTAATCTATCTATCTGAACTCCAAATTAATAAAAGTATATATATATATATATATATATATATAGAGGTTGCATTTAGTGGGTTTCTTTGGTTGACATTTGGGAGAGAGAGGATGGATATAACCTTATATAAAACCCAACTGAATTATGTGTAATGCCATGTAGAGAGCCCCAAAATCACTAATATAAAAATCATAGCTATATGCAGTTAACCAAACCCTAATTAATGCATAAATAGGCGCAAGTTAGCAGTTTCATAAAATATGAACAAAAAGAAGAGGAGAGGAAAGCGTTTCTTCAACAACTACAAGGTGTAGATGCAAAAGCGGTGGCTGACCTTTGTAAAGCAAAAGCGACCAGACCTACCCTCCTCCGCCTCGTCGAGGAATCTCTCGCTCTCTCTCTCTCCCCAACTCTTGCGCCCTCGTGCCTCGTGGGTTTATATCTGCATACTTTATTTGTTTCTACCTCGCAAGTCAAATGCCAATAACCCTGGCAGACACATTAAAGAATGGGGAGAATGAGAAGAAAAAGCCGTTAATTACGACCCCTTTCCTCGGGCTGTTTCAGGCGGGATACTGTTACTCTATCTCTCTCTCTCTTGTATGCAGAGATCTCGATGCCACCTTTGTCAGTATCTCTTCTAGCTGTTATCCTTCGTGGATCTCTCCTCTCTCTTCTCTCTCTATCACACTGACTCTCTCTCACACAGTTGACAGTACACACTCTCGTTGAGAGTTGAGTCTTGAGACTGTGTTAGCCATAGCTATGTATCGTAGATCTCTCCCTCACACTCACAGTCACAGAGCTAGAGTGACAGACACACACACACACACGCATTGAGATTTGAGATAGTAAGATGCTTTTTGGTTCCCTCAGCCCTGGTTTTACTTGCCATGGCATGCCATGCCAATTATGCCATGGGGGTGCACATGTTTGTCAATGGCTAACACGTGGGGTCCTCCTGGCACCTGTCAAATAGCTTTACAAACACCCAACAAGTCAGACCCAGACGGACGGGTAGACCCTGGCCTTCCAGTTTTAGATCGTTAGATATGAGTGTAAATTCTGACCCTTTAATGGGACCCAATTTGATAGAGACAGCCCATTGCACAAGGGTCATTCCAACGTCTAATCTTTTGATTTTTCTGGGAGCTGGAGTCTGGAGAATGCAGATTGCAGAGGCAACCCCACTCCTCACAGGCCACAACAATTAAATGGTGCAGTAAGACAGTACCCCAACTCCAATCAAGACCCCTGTCTGTCTATCAGCCAACGGAGTAACAGTACTGGCATACGTCAAATTAAGCTTGAAAGATCTCTTCCCATCAGAGATGCATGAATAATTTAAGGGAACAGTGCCGCATATAGTCAAAAATGAAAATGGCTTCTTTCCGGTCAATCACAAATATATATATATTTATATATGTATGAATTAGAATTAGAGAAGAAAAAGGGACCATATAATATGCATGGTATTGATATGTAGTAGTAATAGTAATAGTAAAGGAATAGCTCAATAGCGGAGTTGTGCATCATCGTCTCTCACTTTTTACTACTACCACTACTGTTACGTTATTTCTTGGAAATTTCCTTAAAATTAAAGGGCCGGCCAACAAGACCTTTTTTTTTTCCAAAGGTATTCAAGTTGTAACCTGACTGAAAATGCCATTTCAAAAACATGCTTCCAAGAACCCCATCCCTCTCCCGACTGGAGAAACATGTGTTAGTGTCCCTGCAGATTAAGAATCAGTATAGATTTTTGTCAAGAATTAATTATTGGGAAAGTTCGTCCTTTCTTCTTTCTTGCTTATTCTAGCTATTTTAAAATACATTTACATTTTTCTATAAAAAAAAATACATTTACATTTAATTAGCATGGATTCTCTACGCAATTCTCTCACTCTTGTAGTTTACGCCTGTTCAGAATACATACATGATATTAAAATAATAATAATAATAATAATAATAAAAGATAAAAAGGGCCAAACCCAACCGTGTTCCAACCCTCATCATTCATAAACAAATAATATTACAAGTTTTCCAAAAAGAGAAAAAGGAAAAAAGCAACACCCCCCGTGGCCGTAAATACTTGTATGTATTGTACACAGTTTTAGGCTTAGGTAATAGGGTTGGGTCCGTTTGTCCATCTCGGTAGTCGAGATTGTTTTTCCAATTAAATAAACGGAAGAAACAACATTCTCCGCCGCACGTGAAAGGGCAGTGTGCCTTACTTATGCATGCTTTCTCTTCCTTTATTACTTAAAAGCTTCTTTTTTAATTTATTTTTCAAGAGAAGAGATTTTCTTTTCTTTTTAATTTTTCCCCACTTCCTCTTCTGTTTGGTCAATGCCCAATGTAGGGAAAAGTAGCATTGTAGCTTCCACTATGCTTAGCAGCGAGGAACATCTTTTCTAGTAAGTAGTATAAATAACAAATAAAACTAATGGGTTGGATGAGAATATATAAATATATATATATATATATATATATATACTCTTACTCTGTAAAGAAGTTGCCAGTTGGCTGACTAGTGACCTGTGGCTGTGATTGAATCCCAGCAGCCCCACCTAACTAATTATAAGCCAGAGAGCAGAGATTTTGGCATTGTGCTCCCCCCAAGACAAGGAGCAATGAAGACTCCTAACTTTGGAAAGCGCTGTCTTGGGTTTGGGGTCACAGTAAACAAACAAATGCCTGCATCGACATAAAATTTCAGCCAGTGTTTCAAAGTTCAAACTTTTTTTATGGTAGACGATATTATTTATGGCTTATGCTTTATTTATTTTTTGTGAAAATTTCTTAAACTATCTTTACTATTTAATTAATTGAAAAACTCTATCTTTATTTTCTTAAAGTATTCTTATTGCTTTTGTTAATTGTCAAGTGTTAATGGGAAAAATGAAATGTTAAATTTGCCTTTTATATTCTTTAAATTTTTAAAATAAAATCTAATTAATGAAAATTTTCATCAATCTCTCAAAGGTAATCTCTTGGAAAAAAGTGAAGACACTACAATTGATAATCCTGTATAGGATACCCTTCTACAACTGCCATTGATGCACTACAACCCAAGTGGTGGACGTTTTCTTGAATTGGGAAGATAGGGAATGGAAAGGTGAGATTTTGTATTACAACTTTGTTCTCTTTCATCTGCAAGAGGCAAGGCAAAGCACATGTGGTGTTCTCCTTCGCGATTGCAGTTCCAGTCTTGAGAGCTCTCACCGGGGCTTAATTGCTCTTGACACAGTAATTAGATCCTTATTCTCATTGCATAGAGGCAGGTTAAGTATTGCGGTGACACCATTCTCTTGAAGTTGAGAATCAGAACAAGAGTTAGTGAAATTAAAGGCCTTATAGTGCCAATTCGAACGATTTTGAGGCGGTTTTTCTGCTTGGTCTTAGTTAGGAGTCTTAGCTCCGTTGCCACCTGCCTCTGCAGGGAGTCTGCATTCTATATATTCGAGAAAATGGGGTCATTGTAATTTTGGAGGACAAGCTCTGAAGCGCGTCTGAAGACATTGTCTTTAGAACGCTATTTGCCCCCATTCAGTTTTACTGAGTTTGTTGTTGGGTTACAGGCAAATTCGTTCCCAGGATACAACAGAGCCTTGGGCGAGAATCTGCAACCAGCAAAGTTGAAGAGTCTCCAAAGAAACCTTCTGTGAGACTGTAGCAGACCGGACAGAGAGAGAGAGAGAGAGAGAGTGAGTGAGTGAATTTTGAAATTGTGTGTTTTGGAGTCTGATTCATGCTCCTTAAATAATTTGTGAAGAGGTATGAAGAAAAGGTAGGTGCTGGTTTATAGAAAACACCTCGAGCAGTCACAATTTCAAACATTGTGACTGTTTAAAAAGTAGTTGACAATTAGTGACTATTGACTTTGAATTGTGCCTTTTGATCACACCCGATCAAATCATGACCATTGATCTCATCAATAGTGATCAACGGTCAGCAACGCACCAAAACCAAAGCCGCCCATCGCGAGCCACGCGGGTGCGAGCAAAGTGCGCCTCTAAAGCGCCTCATTGCGCCGCACACACGCGTGTGCGCGGTATTGAATCTCCATACTCTCCTCTACTAATTCTAAGAAGTGTAAATCAGCTCCTATTGAAATACTGAAAACAAAACTTATAATTTTCCAATGTGGGACAAGTTCAAAACTGGGTTTTGTAAGAGAAAAACTAATTTTTCAATCAAGTGTGCAGGTGCAATTTCTCATGTAATTGACCAATCAAACCCATTGGATTTAATCTCTTATGAGATTAAAATCCAACACTATACACCCATGGGTGCACTAGACACGTGAACCCGCAAATAGGAGAATAACATGCTGACTATCCCAACGTTAATGGTCAAACACACATTATCGTGGTATGATCGGTTCAATCAGACACGAATCTGTTCCAACTTAACCCACTAGTCATGACAAAAGGGGTGTTGTTAAACCTCATTATTCGATTTTCTTCACTGATTTCCATGGAGCTTTCCTCCTTCCAGCGAACCCTTCTTCCATTGGCGACGACAAGGAGAGCTCCAATGGTTCATCAACAGTAACAAGGAGAAACCTTCCTCCTCTTCTCTTCTTCTTTTCCTATCCATTCTTCTTCTTTGACAAGTGGTAGGGTTCCTCTTCCATTCTTCTCTTCTTCATCTTCTCCTTCTTCTTACAAGTGTTCACTTCTGTTCAATTTTCAACAGAAACAACCCACCTAGAAGGAGGACCGACAACCACAGCATCCACTGGCGGGAATAGGTCCGATTTGAAGTCCAAACAAGTATGGCCGTGTTTTTCATGCTATTTGTAAGTGATAAATTTAGGGCAATATTGTAAGTGAATTTGTGTATTTCTGTATGACCTAAATGTTATCTAACAACTGAAATTTTTTTTTCATACACTTTATAAGTGAATTTTTGAATTCATCTTTCATTTTGAGTTTTATATGGGAAAATCCTAATCCATCTCATGAATTGTTGATGTAAATGATTAATTCATCAGAAAGAGTAGGCTTGTTTTTAGCTGATGTGAATGATTAACATGTCATCTAGCCAAATTTGTCGACCTGTTTTTATTGATAACATGGGCACTGTGACTTGCGTTTTTATTGATGCAAATTCAAGCAACAAACAGAATGAATATTCTGCTATTCTTAATCCCTTTAAGAATGAACCTTTATCAATTTACTTGTCATTTCTTCACTCATCAAATACTTTTCCTCCATCTCCTTGAACAGTTTCCTTGTCATTTCCTCACATTATTTATCAAAATTTTAAACATACCTTTTAGGTTATTGTACATTTGGATTATAGTTCTTTTTACACTGTTGTGCAAGGTTTGAGTTTTCAATCCACTTGTGATCATCCATCATATAGGGACTTGAAAATTGAAATATAATCCAATGTTTTGTAATTGCAGAAGGAGCTGAGTAATTCGAGTATCAAAAACATCTCAAAATCGGCACAAGTTGTTTTGCATTTGTCCCGGGAAAATTGTAAGTGATATAAAACATTTTCATGTTCTATTTATGTTAAAATGACAATTGAAAGATTTGATGACTAGTATGTTATATCTACGTAGGCAAATAAATCAGATGGTAAGCAATGCGATTATTTTGCAAGGGAAGTTCCCGAAGGGCTTGATGATGATGGCATTTCAAACATGCATAATCAAGAAGATCTAGAAAGCCAAATTGATGARCTTGACAAATTAGTGGCTGATATGGATGGTCATCTGAAGATATTGGAATCATTGCTATCTTCCCACCAAATACATATTGAAGGGATGAAAACGATACATTTTCTAATTATTATTTTTATGATTGCGATTATTTTAGTATATATGCATAAGAATTAATCCCAACATAACCTCCAACCCTACTCGTGTACCATATTAATGGTCTATGTGAAACAATTTTTAATTTTTGATTTGGAGCACTAATGCGGATGGACACTAGCAAAATATTGAGACCTGATATCTGATATGTTGTTTATAAAAGATTTGCAATCAATGTTTATTAAAGTCACAATGCCCATGTTATTAATAAAAACAAGTCCACAAATTTGGCTAAGTGACATGTTAATCATTCACATMAACTAAAAACAAGTCTGCTCTTTCTGATGAATTAATCATTCACATCAATAACTATGAAATGAACTAGGATTTTCCCATATAAAACTCAAAATGAAAGATGAATACAAAAATTCACTTATAAAGTGTACGGAAAAAAACTTTGCTGTTAGATAACATTTAGGTCATTCAAAAATACAGAAATTCATTTACAATATTGCCCCAAATTTATCACTTACAAATAGCATGAAGAAGACGGTCATACCTGTTCGGACTTCAGATCGGACCTGTTCCTACCGGTGGTTGTCCAAGTCGGTGGATGTTGTGGTCGCCGGTCCTCCTTCCAAGTGGGTCTCTTCTGTTGAAAACAGAACAGAAGCGGACACTTGTAAGAAGAAGAAGAAGAAGAAGAAGAAGAAGAAGAGAAGAATGGAAGAGGAACCCTACCACCGGAGCTACTTTTCGAAGAAGAAGAATGGAGAGGAAAAGAAGAAGAGAAGAGGAGGAAGGGTTCTCCTTGTTGCCGCTGATTAACCGCTGGAGCTCTTTTTGTTGCCACCGATGGAGGAAGGGTTTGGTGTGTTGGTAGGGTGGAAGGAGGAAAGCTCCAGTGGAAATCAGTGATGAAAATAGAACAATGGGGTTTAACACCTCTTTTGTTACGACCAATGGGTTAAGTTGGAATTGGTTTGTGTAAGATTGAACAGCCCAGACCACGTTAACGCGCATTTAACCATTAACGTTGGGAACTTGGGATGGTCGACGTTTTCTTCTCCTATTCGCGGGTTCACGCGTGCACCCACGGGTGCACAGAACGCGGACTCCTCTGTGGGGGTGAGCAAGCCAAACTTGAGATCGGAGACAAATTGACAGATCAGTTCATCGGAATCCCCAAGGCACACGAGGCCATGGGGATTTCGTCTAATCTGTTACTATTACAGTCACTAAAAGCAGAAGATGAATCTGCGTTCACCGAAGCTCCGCCTCATCATTAATGTTGAGTTCTCTGCATCTCTTCTGAGAAAAGGGTAAAACAAATTCACAATTTCACTTAAAGAAGAGAAGCCTCCCATTAATAATGGTAAACCTTGTATGAATTGCGCGGTGTAGACTCCATACAATCATTACTGATGGCTGAAAATGATAGAGCTCCAAGATTACCTGCACCCCCTCACCCCATGATTGTTCTCCCATCTCACTCCTCGGTCGAGAGTCTCTTCACTGGTGGTGCTGGCACCAGCCCTGGTCCTATGACGCTCGTCAATAATTTATTGACGAAAACGATTATGAGTCAGACTATCACTCTTTCTCGCAGCTTCTTGTTGGGGCCATGGCTTCGAGTTGCTGTTGTCGGTATGAGGCCCAACTTTTCCACGGATAATTCAACCCAGGAGTCCTTTAAGCAGAATGATTTAGGGGATGGAGGTGAAAAGGAATTTCGTTCCTGATAAAATATCAAGAGACTGATCTATTCTTTCTTTGTGGAGTAATAGTGGCAGGGAACTGATTTGTTCGAGACTTCGAGGTAGAGTTCTAACCATTTCAGTTGTGACTCCCAAAGTTAAACATGGTGGGGTTTCAACCGATGAAGATGAAGCGGAAGGACTTCAAATAAGCTTACGATGAATTCTCCGAATTTTCTGTCTGCTCCCTCCCGCCGGAAAGATCAAGAGACTGGTATGAGTTCCATTTCATCTCTCTTTTTTTTTTTTTCCAATGAAATCTTTGTTGAACTCTGGGGATGGAGGTGAAAAGCATTTCCGTCTTAAGCCCTAACGTCCGTTGAATTTGGTGATTGCCCAATCCCCTATCCCGTTGTTTATGATTCACGCTTGGTTTAAGCCCTGCTACCTTGCTCGATTCATCAGGATTCTTTTTGCTTGGTTAGGTAATTGACATGAATATGATGTCATACTAAGCATGTTGTCTTCTTTGCATCCCTTGACAGAGAGAGTCTCAGTCAAATAAGAGAGAAAAAAACTTGGAGTGGTTAATTGGGCACTAGGGGTTTTGTCAAGCACCGACACACCCCCACGTTTCATACGGCAAGCACCGATGTCGGGGTGAAGAGAAGTAAGCACATGGTCCTAAAGTGATAAACACCGGCGTTGGGGTGAAGACAAGGGTATTATTGTTATTTTGTTAAAATATAACAGTCACTTGATGTGGTATGTGAACGGGATACAACGGAACCCTAACGATAAGGGATTAATTAATCAATTGTTAAAAATAGTAAGAATACTTTAAGATAATATATAAATATTAAAGATAAGAGTTTGTCAATTAACTAAACAGTTTATGAAATTTGCCTTTTTTTTTATTTTTAAATTGAATTATAAAGGAGGTTTTTACTTAGTATCAAAATACAGGAAAGGTTTATATGATTATTATAAAATCTTATATTTTATCCTTCTCTTATTTTACTCATGAACCCACGCAACGTCCTCACAAAATTGTGAGGAATGAATACGGTCTCCTTCTCAACCAGCCAATTGACACCTTATTTTGTCAGGATGAATTCGTATTATCGTATCGGGCTTAGATTACCTAATAACTGGGCCGGGCCCATCTGAAAAGTAAAAGGCCGGAGTTCTAGGCCTAGGTCCATAGCGAATCAATATATTTTCTTTCGAGCTGGTCGGTCCGGGCGTGGGTCCAGCCATCGTTCCAGTTTTAGAAAATTGATTAGAAGCATCTAGTATCTTTTCCTTGGCGAACCAACCAGCAACCACACTGTCTTGCTTCGCAAGCTTGAACAATTCTCCAAAAACACACTTGGACGGTTGCACCTAGGTCCAACCGAAGAACCTCTCTTTCACTCTCATAAACGCAGAGGTAAGAAGCCCCTATTCTACAATGTGCCTTATTTCTTCTTGTACTGGAATTTTGTCGGTTTTTTTCTTTATTCAGATCTAAAGTTCGATTCTTTGTCCCATAGTTACATTCAGAGTAGAATAAGGTCTCTGAAATCTCATCTGGTTATATCTTAGATTGCGCAGATTGCAAGGTTCCAGTCGAATCGAAGATGTTTCTTACCAGGTGAAAACATATTGATACCAACTACGGGATTTTTCTTGTCTACATATTCTCAACTTTTGTTTTATTTTTATTGATTTGTTTTGTTTTGGGTAACTGAAGGACTGAATATGATAGAGGTGTCAACACCTTCTCTCCAGAGGGGCGGTTGTTTCAGGTTGAATATGCGATTGAGGCTATCAAGGTAATCGGACTTGTGCTTCTTTGTGTTTTGGTAAAGTAAAGGAGGGTCAATTGTGGAGGAAATGTGTGCTTATTGCAGTTGGGTGTGAATGCATTTGGTTTAAAAGAAGGTGCTTTATGAAGGGTATTTATGTTTCTCGTAGTTGGGTTCAAAGACGGTGCTTTATGGGGTATTTGTGTTCTTTCGGTTGGGTTTCAGCGCAGTTTCCTATTTCCTGTTCTCCTCTTTCTTCCTTAGTGCAATTATTTTTTCGGTGATAATACCCTGTTTCAGTGCAGTTGGGTTGAATTGGGGTCGTTTTACTAAATACTAAGGAAAAATGAGTTCTTTGTAGAAAGAATTTGTGTTCGTTGAAATTGGATTTTTCTGCAGTTGGGTTGAGGCTGTTGAGATTTCTACCGACTACATGCGGTTGTTTATTGAGGGAACTCGCGTTTTTTGCAGTTGGGCTCAACCGCAATTGGGATAAAGACCAAGGAAGGCGTCGTGCTTGCCGTAGAGAAGCGCATAACTTCACCATTGCTGGTTGTTCACCTTTATCTAGTTGATTTATATTTTGTTTTTCAGCCATTGGTCATTATTATTTTATCTAATTCATCTTGTTTGGTGTTGTCCCTTTTGTGTTAAATTAATGCCTTATATATGATAGTAATCTATATACATGCATATAATCCCTCATGCATTGTAATATATATACGCAGACAGTAACTATTTTATCTACTCATTGAGGAAAAAGTTTTTTTTTTTCCTTGGATCTGCTACCCACAAAGACGCCACCCACATGCACCAACATGAGACTACATCCGTGCATATGTAACATCTTTCCATGAATGACAACTGAGATGTTTCCGATGTGTGTGGCTTTAGTGTTTTATGAGTAGGCTTGTAGGTAGTGTTGTGGGATCTGGACTCCAGTTTTGTGTGTAGTTTCTCTAACTCATTATATTTGGAGTATGATAAATATTCCCATGGGATTTTGTAAATGGTCATAAATTCATCAATACATATTACTATATTAATAAGCAACACAACATTTTATGTTAACAAATACAGACTCAAGGAACCTTGTAAAGGGAAAGCAATGCATGTATTAGTCTATTAGATACTAATAGCTAATGAATTTGTTAACAATGCAAATGAACCCTAGTTTGTAACATGGACTTGAAAAACGTTTGAGTGGATCCATAATTCTTGGGATTTTCCTATAAAATATTGAAGCTGAGGAGTGATGGAGAAATTGGACTGAACAATGTATCTATATGGTTTTGTTTCTTCATTGTTGGTAATGTTTACTTGAATGTTTTTCTCTTTCCACTCAAAAAAGGGCTGGGCAAGGTCCAAATGGGAATTCTTTTCTTTTCTATGCACCTTAATGATGTTGATTGGAGGTTTCATGGTATGATGGGAGATTATTCCCCATCTCATATATTCAGTTTGCAAATGATTCCATTATTTCTTGTAAAGATAAGAGTAATTCTGCTTCCACCATGAAGGAAATCATAGATAGCTTGGAATTTCTGATGACTTAGAGTTTACATGAACAAAATATGCATTACAAGTTGATTGCATTGCCTCAATCCTGTATGCAACTTAACAAATTGGTCAATGAGGTTTCTGGGCTTACTTTTGGAGAACACTAGGTAGATGACTTTTGGGATCCCATATTCAAAAGATACAACAAGAAACTAGTCGATTGGAGGAAAAGTTACATCTCATTTGGGGGGCAGGGTATGATGTTTATTATATCTAACTTAATAGCCTCCTCATGTCTATAAGTTATTCTTAAATGCTCTAATTAAAATTGCAAACGGAAATGAGAAAATGATGAGGAACTCTTTTCTTGAGGTCACCAAATAGATCATTTGGTGGATTTTGGAACATGGTATGTAAAAACAAAGAAGAGGGGGACTGAAGACACGATGCATAAGGGAGAGGGATATGTCATTTCTAGGAAAATAACTTTGGAGTTTCCTAGATGAGCAGTATGGCCTATACCACGTGGCAATCAAAAGAAAATATGACCATCAAATTAATGAATGCTAGACTAGGAAATGGAGTCTCCTTATTATTTCCTTAGCAATTGATCTTTTCCATGCTTCATACCTTTGTACACATAACAGAGCATGTTAACTGTCAAGAAAAGAAAGAAAAGGAAAAGAACATTTCTATCTGCATCAGCTATGACACTGCCTGGGGATGGAATTAGGTTCTGCGAGGGTTTGTGATAGGGGAGATCCCGTCTTTACTGGAAGTTTCTTGGATTATGCTCATTATCCGCAATGCATAACTGATTGATTTTTCCTCTTAATTTGAATTCGGTTAGTGTCTAGCTTGGAACCCAGGTTTCAAGACAGGTTTATGGGACCACAATTATGAGAACATCATTTGACTCCTTGATAGCTTCTAAAGTGTATTTCTTTCCAATAAGAGCAGGGATGATTTAATATGGGTTTTGTAACCTGTCTTCTTTTCAAAGTACTTTTATATGGGAACAGCAATCCTGTTTCCTATTCTTATGAAGGACCAAAGAAGATACTGATATTGATTACTATCAGAAAAACTATAGAAGATACTGACTCCCAAAAGGATGCATACATTTTGCTGGAAAGATTGCTCATGGGGAGGATAAACACATATGAAATGCTACAGACAAAAAGAGTTGGTGTTACTTCTTGTATGTGACTGAAATATCACAATGTGGAGACACTTTGCACCCTTTTCACATATCCATTGCTCGTCTATTTTATATTTATGCAATCTTTTGAAAGGCTATTAATCTCATCCACATTAACTTAGTGGCAGAGAAGGATCATGAATTTTCAAGGGCTATTATCTTTATTCATGGTATCTTATCACAAAGAAAAATCATGAAATGTTTGATGCATGCTCTGGTTTGGGATATATGGGAAGAAATGAATGCTTATCTATTCTAGACTAAGAAGAGATCTATCCAAGCAATGATTATTCTTCTGACTATCAATTAGGTTAATAAATTTGGGCCGTTCAACGATACGTCCCGTATCGGGCGTATCATATCGTTGGCTTAACGATACGCCCCTACAGGGGTTGTATCAGGGTGTGACCTGGTTCAGGGGGTAGACCAGCCTTAGACTGACCCCTCTGAACCAGTTTCAAAGAAAGGGGGGGAGGGGGGAGCAAGCTTCGATACAGGCTGATACGCCCCTACCGGAGTATTGGCCTGTATCGATATTTTAATCCTTGCCTGTAATAGAATGCAGTGGTGATCTGGGCTCCCCTATGCCTAGAAAGAACTCTTGGAGGGTTGAAGTAATGCTTAGAAACAACTTCAGTATGGTCATCATAGCATGTTTCGGACTGGCTGATAGAGGTACTCAGCAAGATGCTAAGCTACTGTCTTAGTGTTTCTGATTCACGGAATGAAATTATCGGTTTTGATGGACTACAAAATGACACTCATAGAAGAAGTTTTGCATGTTATCATAGCTTGGATCTGAAAAGTTTATGATGGCCTTTTACCATGAATGCTGGGAGGTGATCAAAGAGGATCTGAAGAGAATATTTGATGAATTTTTAGTTAGAGGCAAAGTGGGAAAGGGAATAAATGCTACTTTTATCTCTTTGATTTGAAAATATGTGGGTGTAACTTCAACAAGTGAATTTAGGCCAATTAGTCTCACCACAAGTTTGTATAAGATTGTGGCTAAGGCATTATTCGTGAGGCTAAAGAATGTGTTTCATCTGGTTGCCACCTAAACAAAGAGCTTTTGTTAAAAACAGAGAAATCCTAGATCATATTCTTATAGCTAACGAGGCAGTGGAAGACTTCAAAAAATTGAGGAAGGGGTTTGTGTTTAAGATCGTGCTGATTGGGAGGGTAGGAGAGGCATTAGACAAGGGGACCCATTATCCCCCTTTTTAATTATCTTGGTGGTGGAAATTTTCAGCAAACTTTTGAGGAGGGTGGATGTGAGAGACATTTTTAGAGGTTTTAGGGTGGAAAGATTGAGCCAAATTGTTTCTCATTTGCAGTTTGCTGATGACACCTTGATTTTGGGTCGAGTTCAGGGAGTTTCATGATGTGAGAGCTCTTAGGAGAATTCTAGAGATACTAGAAAGAGTCACTGGCTTGAGAATCAACTTTGCCAAATGTAGTTTGATGGGTTTACAAATGGAAGATAGAGAATTGGAGGAGTGTGCAACTATCTTGGGTTGTGAGATTAAATAGTTGCCAATTAAGTATTTACTATTTAGGGTTACCTTTAGGGGGTAATCCTTGAGATATATCTTTCTGGGAGGTGGTGATTGAGAGGTTTTCAAAAAAAAAAGGACAATTGAAAGAAAAGCTACGTTTCGAAGGGTGGAAGACTTACCCTCATCAAACCAACTTTGTCTAACCTTCCAATCTACTTTTTGTCTCTTTTAAAGCACCCATGCAAGTTGTGCGAAGAATAGAAAAAATTATTAGGGATTTCTTATGGGATTCAGGAAGTGAAAAAGAAATATCATCTCATGACTGCATGCTAAAGAGGGTGGTGGGCTAGGAATTAGGAGAGTGCAGGAGAAGAATTTGTCTCTTCTAGGCAAATGGTTGTGTAGGTTCCCTAATGAGAAAGGCATTGTGGSATTTAGTAATCAAAAGCATTTATGGGCGGCATCCTAATAGGTGGGACACAGTTTATGCCAAAAATTCCACTCTAAGAAGCCCATGGAAAGCAATCTTGACCCTTCTTCCAACCTACATACAACACATTACACATAAGGTATGATGCTGTCTCTTGAACCAAGGTGAAGTTTCGGGAAGATTCTACCTTCCTACAAGCATTTCCTAGAAATATAATATATCCAACTTCAAAAACAAACCCGTTGCTGGCTTGGTAACATTTGATGGAGAGGGTGGGTTTGGGTCTCGGGCTTAAGGAGCGCTTTGAGGGAATAGGAAATGGATGGAATAACTGCCCTACGTGACATCCTTCAACAGGAACATATGCCCTTTGAGGATAGATGGGAGAGCGTGGGAACCTGATGTTAATGGACTCGTTGCTTGTGCCTCTTTTTTGTTTTGACAAACCTTTTGCCAATGAAACGAAGTGAACCTGAACCCATTCCTAGTGCTAGAGGTGTGGTGTTGCCCTATTCGTCCTAAAGTAAAGGTCTTTTGTTGGGAAGCCGCCAATCAAGTCATTAGCACCTTTGAGAGGCTCCAAAGGAAGTAGGAAAACTGGTGTCTCTCTCCTCATGTCTATCTTTTGTTTGAGGAGAAGGGAAAACACCAACCATCTTGTGTGTTGCACTTTTTTTTTTTTGAAGAATAAATAAAATAAATTTTATTAAAAGAATAAAGGTTATAGAGTAGGAGGTGACAAGAAGGCACCTCCACACTACAAAACAACAAAACACCAATACAAACAAGCAGAAAACTGAATACAAATCTGCAGAACGAACACAATCCACCAAGGCTTCCCCAAAACTAGAGGGACTATGTATTGCACTTTTGCACCCAGGTGTGGGAACATTTCTCTTCTTTGGCTGGTTGTGTTTGGGTAGCACCAAGAGAGGTCAAGGATTTATTTAGTACCAGATGGATGGAAATGTACTACAAAGAGATACAATATTGTACTACAGAGGTTAGGTCTTTTTGCTGGGAAGTGGCTCTTCAAAAGATCAATACTATGAATGTACTTCAAAGAAAAAAGCCAGACTGGAGCCTTTCCCCACATGTTTGTTACCTTCGCTTAAGAAATGGTGAGACGGCGACTCATCTTTTGATTTCTTGTCCTTTTGCTTATTATTTGTGGGATTGGTTCCCTTCTTTGTTTGGTTACAGATGGAACCCCCCCTCAGGTGTTCTGAACTTTTTTGACTCTAGCTTCATCCGAAAACCAAGGAAAAGGGGTAGGGTAATGTGGAGAATAACAAGAGCTGCCATCCTATGGTCAATTTGGGAAGAGAGAAACAATAGGATCTTCCTAGGACAAGAAAAATCCAAGGAAGCACTTGTGGAGGATGTCACCATCAAGGTTATGCACTGGCTGAAAGTACATCATCTTTTCAAGGATTTTTCCTCAGCGGATTTAATTAGAAATTGGAGTGCTATAGCTATATCCTCGCCTTCCTCCCCTGCGGTACAAGATTGTTGGGTACCACCGCCTCAGTTCAAGGTGAAGCTAAACTTTGATGGAAGCTCCTTGGGTAATCCAGGTCAGTCGGGAGTTGGG